CATAGCTCTCATATAAGGAATAGAAGATAACAGTGTTCTTGAAGGACACAACTGACAGCAAGATCAGAGGAGGGAGGTGCTTGGGTTTTGATTTCACCAATAATTGTCCCATTTCATGCTTTGATATCAAGGTGTGAAGGGCTTAGAAAAGGTGGCCGTGCTTCAGCAAAGAGCCCTGACCCGTGTGAGAGGCAAACAGCACAGTTTTCTGGTAACGGAGGTGGTCTTTGGTTGGAATTGAGCATCCTAGCTAGTCCTTGAGGAAACACTTTTTCTCATTTAAAACCTCTCTCTCAGTTTAATCTATCTCTCTTGGGAAGCAGACCAAGAAGGAATAGGTAGTCTGAACTAAAGAACCTACTCTTATTACCAAATATCTGAGCAAAAGATGGTAACAAGGAAGCTGCCCCTATACACCTGTGTTGTAGTCCTTGCCACAGTTTTTCTTAAGAGCAGTTGCTCTTTAAGCTTTTCTACTCTTGAGTAGTTTAAGCTGTCATGTCTCCCAGGGTTGTTTTCTGTTTCGGTGGATTTGGGGTTTGTTCACACAGTGGGGCTTTTCTGTGTGTAAAGATTTTTCCCAAGAAGTCCTGGCATTGTCACATTCACTCTTAATATAATTTCATTTCTAAAAGCTCGCCTGCAAATGTTCAAACAATGCCAGAAACCACAAGCAGATCTAATTTTGACCAGAAAGTTGCAGTGACCCACTGACTGTTAGAAGCTAATTGCCTTTTCCAGTGTTTTGACAAAAGCCAGTTTTAGCAAGTAACTTAAAATGCTATTGCCTCCCTACTGCCTGGACATGAGTTGACTTGTAATTCCGATAAGCGCCCCTCCTGCTGCCATGCCTTCTGAGAAAAGCAGCTGCTCTGTAGATCCGATCGAACAAGCATGTGGCAATGTGTGTCAGGAGGGAGGTGGCAGGATCACAGAATCACAGAATCTCAGGAGTTGGAAGGGACCTCGAAAGCTCATCCAGTCCAACCCCTGCCAGAGCAGGATCACCCAGACCAGGTCACACAGGAACGTGTCCAGGCGGGTTTTGAATGTCTGCAGAGAAGGAGACTCCACAACCTCTCTGGGCAGCCTGGGCCATGCTCTGTCACCCTTACAGTAAATAAGTTTTTCCTCATATTCAGATTGAACCTCCTATGCTCCAGCTTGCACCCATTGCCCCTTGTCCTGTCATGGGACATCAGAGAGAAGAGCCTGGCTCCTTCCTCCTGTCACTCTCCCTTTACAAATTTATAAACATTAATGAGGTCTCCCCTCAGTCTCCTCCAAGCTAAAGAGCCCCAGCTCCCTCAGCCGCTCCTCGTAAGGGAGATGCTCCACTCCCTCGATCATCCTTGTGGCCCTGCGCTGGACTCTTTCAAGCAACTCCCTGTCCTTCTTGAACTGAGGATGGGTACCAGTCGAGAGAAGAGGGGTTGTGTGTGTGGACAGAGGGACGCTCGAGGAATACAGAGCATCTCAGTGCTGTGGTTAACGTGGCACTGGCAGGTAAAGTCCACACCCAGGTTTAGATTGGATATTAGGAAATTTTTTTTCACTGAAACAGTGGTCAAGTACTGGAACAGGCTGCCCAGGGAAGTGATGGAGTCACCATTCCTGGAGGTGTTCAGAAGATGTGTAGATGTGGCCCTTAGGGACGTGGTTCAGTGGGACTTGACAGTGTTAGGATAATGATTGGACTTGATGATCTTAAAGGTCTTCTCTGACCTAAATGATTCTGTGATTCTGTGACCAGTCCCACATTTGCAGCATTTGAGCTGTGGGTCGTGCTGGCTGGAAAGTGGTTGCTGTGCTTGGCACCTGCTGGGGTTGTGTCAGGGCTGCAGCAGGCTCTTCGTGCCCAGCATTTAATCATAATTATTATATGGCAGACCCAGCAACTTTTATTTTTGGCTCTGAGGTTTGTTTTTGCCATTCAGTGGTTGGCAGCGCTGTGCTTTGCCCATGGAGTTGTCCCAGGGTAGGGACCTTGGTGACACTGTCCCAATGTACCCCCCGTGACTGGGAGATGTAGAGACCCAGTGCCCGTAATCCTGGGATAAACAGGAGTCTACTGGGACATGTTCACAGCAAATGCTTTAAGTTTTCACCAGAGGCTTCTGGCTGGTTTTTGAGTCAAGTGGATGAGCAAGGCATCCTGGAAGAAGGTTCAGTCCAGCCATTGCTGGGTATTGGAAGAGGGAGTGGGTGAAAAACAAGCAAGGCAAAAAAGCAAGAAGAAAAGGATAGCTGAAGGGAGTTTGATAGCTGAGGAAAAATTAATCTGTTTAAATTAAAATTCAAAAGGATAAATTAATCTGTGCTGAAGTGACAACAATAACCTTAATGGAGTGGAATCACATAGCTTAAGGAGCATGGAGAATCCTTTTTTGCTGTACAAGCCTCACCAGAATTGCAGCAGCCAGTCCCAGTCGTTTTCTCTTTCCAGGCTGTGCTGTCACCATGTCTGTACTTTGTCACACATTGTACCTAGGAGGGTCACCCAGCATGGTCTTCTGTGTGGGCAGAGCAAGGTTTGGCTTAGTCATTGCTTGCCTCCTTTCTTGATCAGTGCTTGACTTCTCCCCTCACTGGTTTTTTGGGCTTTGCCATGAATGTTCTCCCAAACCCCATCTGCCATGCTTGCCAATATCTTATTTGCTGACCTTTCCCCTTGTTTTCTTTCTGTTTCATGCTGCAGGCTGGAGACTGGTCGTGAACAGATCTTGCCCATTGACTATTACTTTCCACCTCAGAAAGCTTGCCTGATCTGTGGAGATGAAGCGTCTGGGTGCCACTACGGAGCTCTCACATGTGGTAGCTGCAAAGTCTTCTTCAAACGCGCAGCTGAAGGTAATGCATACAGAGAAAGAAGGAAAAATCACTCCCACCTTCCTAAGAGTCAAGCTCTGCTGACACAAGTTCTCTCATCAGCAATAAAGTCATTAATGTAGAAATGCTGGAGGCCTTTGCAGCATCATGATAGGTTTTCCTCCTGTTGAAAGAGGTTAAGCAGCCTTGCTTTGGGGAGCTTGCCAAGCCAAGGGGACTGAGGCGAGAGTGGTGGGGACACCAAGGTTGTGGTGGGTTTCTCCCTTGAGTAGAGGTCCCAAACTCATGGGTGCTCATCTACCATTGCCAGAGCACTGCTTCTAGATTAATTCTAGCATTATCCTGCGTGGTTTTGGAGTGACATATTCCCTCGTTCATCATGTATGCCAGGAGTGAACTTGCACTGGTTCAGGGAAGAATTGGGGCTGTGCCACAGAGGACAACAGCATCCTGTTGCCATAATGGGAAAGGCAAATAATTTTAATAGATAATAAGTTGGGCTTATTTTTCCTCAGTAAATCATTTACAGATCTTTCTCTCTGCTATACACCAATTCTGTGTAAGGCCAGTTGGATTGGCTGGCACAGCCAGAGTGAATAACTGATGCTTGTTTAAGTCAGTGAGTTATTGTTGATTTATAGTAAGTGGTTTCTTGGCTCTCTCTGTCAGATAACCTGGTGCTGAAGTACCTGATCTCATCTGGCAAGCCCCGGTGTGGTGCTCCTCCTGTCACACCATGGGGGCTCTGTCCTGCTTGGTGTGGGGCTAAAGTGACTGCTGTGGGGGAAACAGCCTTGCACTGCTCATAGTCAAATGCTGTAGTGGTATTCCCTCACCTAGTTGTCTTATATCACAAATTTAAATCATACTTGTGCCTCTTGTTATTTTTTAAGCCTTGAGGTGTTGCAAAGGGTTTGGTTGTGTTAGGGTCAGGAAGCAGCAGCCCTTTGCCTTCCCTGGCCAAGGCTGTGGAGCCAAACATGTCTGCAGTGAGGAGCAGCAGCGGTGGGAGGGACCTTCCTGGGTGTGAGGTTTCCTCTTATGTTACCCTGAGGTACATGGGTAGAGTCTTTATTTTGGGAAGAGACAATAAATCAGACTCCTTTATAGGTACTGAATGCGGGGCAGTGGTAGGTGATGATTTCTATCCTGACTCCTGGTGAATTTTCCAAGCAGACCTTTCCTTCTAGAAATATTGAAAGCTGATAGTTCAGTGTGTGCTCAAGTTTTAAAGTCCATAAAATAAGTATCTCAAAACCTTAGGTCACCTTTGGAGATGTTTTACAAGGGCAGATCAAAAAGCTTCCCCGATGAGAAAAGAAACGTTTTTCTTCGGCCTCTGCTGCCTTCCTGTTACTGGTGGAAACCAGCAGCCTCCAAGCGGTAGGAGAAGTTGTGGACTGGGAACTGAGGAGCAACACAGACAGACCATCTCAGAGGGAACGGAGAATAGCTGGACATGTAGTTTTTATCAAATTCTTTGCCTAATATAATACTGAACTTATTTGGAAGTAACTCAGAGATATTAAGGAAGTTTTATAGACGTACACTGGTTTCTAAGGGATTAGAAAGGGAAAAGATTTTAAAAAAAAAGTTATGACATTGACTCCTCTTCCCGTTTGAAACACACTGAGGGATTCCTGTGCTTTCCAATAGTGCAGATCTCTCCTGCTTTGATACAGTGTTGGACAGATTTGGGTTTTTTTCAAGCTCAAGTCCAACTGGTTCTTCCAGAAAGATGCTGGAAGAGTTAACAGAGAAGACGTGAATGTTTTCCTGATCTCTTTCTGTCAGCTCTCTCGATTTATAGACTCTCTTGAGATGCCAGGGTATATATAGGCCAGCTCTAAAACGCACCCTGCAGATTCTTCAGCTCTGACGTGGAATTCCTCACTTGCAGGATGGCCAGCCTCAATTTTGGACTCAAACCTGATGTTTCTCTCTCCCTTTCTGTCACCCAACTCAGGTGTCCAAGTACTGAGGGACCCTGAGGTTTGGGGAGATGTACTGCTGTTCCCCAGCTATCATGCACTCGCACCCTGTGAAGGAGAACTTCTGATTCCTCTTTCTCTTACAACAACAAAGATTTGGTAAACAAAAAGTGCATCCACCTCAGCACAGATTTTGGTTTTTCTCTGCACAAATAGTCAGGGCATCACTTCGCATAGTTAGGATGGCTTGGATGAGTTAAAAGACGTCAGGGTTTGGTCCTCATGGTACCACACTTGTCCCTGAAAAGGAAAAATGCTCCAAACACGACACACTTCCAAATCAATTGACAGGCCAGGGGTTCTTGAGCAATTTTTTGTATCCTCTGCATCCATCCCTGATTTTTGGTAGACCTTCCCCATCCCTTCAGGGTTGTGTGAGATCTGATGGCCAGGTCAAAGCTGCCTCTCTGCAGGGTTCCTGGCAGTGCAGGACTGGGACACTTCAGGCTGTATTCCTGATGGGGGTGCCTTTAAATAGCAGAGAGCTAGATGAAAAAAAAAATAACACAGTATTTGGCAAATTTCCTAGAGGGCCAACAGCCAGACTGCTGTGCAGTCTGTCTCGATCCCCTTTCAGCCACACTCCATGTGGGTTATTGTTCCACATCCTGACCTGCTGAGGATAAGCCTTGCACCGGAGAAATGTCTCTGGGCCAACTCAGCAGTTTCTTGCCAGTTTTCAAGATGATGACAAGTTAAAGTGAACTGTTTTCAAAGACCGTCACCATGTTTTGAAGTTCTTTCTTCTCCTTTGTTTTCTTTAGTCTTCTGGTAAATATAGGTGACTTAAGAAAATGACTTTGCAAAGACAGGTTATTGATAGCGGCTTGGTGTTGGTTCTTGAAAGCTTCATAGCTGTGCCCTCTGTGGTTATTTCTGATGGGAGCTCAAAGTGGGAACTTCACAGTGGTTGCAGCGCCAAACCTGTGGGCTCAGGTGTTGCCATCGGCCAGCTGGTAACAGCAATGGGGACCAGAGTTTTTACCGAAAAGCACTAGAAACTCTGTGTTTTCATGAGACACTGGGGTTTCCCTTTCTCAGAAAGCTTGGCCTTACCCCCCAGTTATTAGAATTTAATTTATGCCCTGAAATATGAGGATAGATCTTTTTTCCAAAAGGTGTTGAATGGGTTTTCACATTCACAATCTTCAGTGTTTGGAAGAGAAAGCTATGCTAGGCATAACAGCCTGTGGCAACTGGCTTGTAATTAAATAACATGGCTGGACTGAGCAACTAATCTTTCTCTGTAAATCCAGAGTATGTTTAAAGTGTAGCTTGGTACTTACAAGTTTGCAAAGCAAGAGCCTCTGCTTTGGAGTAATATAAGAAAGCATCTCTATTGTTTGCAGAAAGGAAAAGGAGAAAAAAGAAATCATTCCAATGTTGAAGTCAATAAAATAAAACCCAGTGCATTTATCTTTAGATAAAGAACAGCTCATTGCCAATGTCTCAAGTTGTTCTTAAATGAAGAGAGTAAATTATCCTGAAATTAAAACCAAGTCTCTGTATATGAGGAGTCGCTTAAGGGAGATGTAACTTGTCTGTACTTCAGCAACCATTGTTCTCTGGGCTTTTACAGCCTCTGTATGCCTGTGCTGCACTCAGGGGACACAGCCTTTCACATTCCTCTCATACTCCCAGCTTGGAGAGAAGGGACGGTGTACACCAGGGCAGATGGAGCAGGAGAGCTGCTATTGCCAGTGTATCCACCAGAGACGCTTGGTCTGGTGGCGTGTTGGTCCATGCTGGAGGTGATGAGCATCCCGGGTGTCGTGCTTCTCTGCGGTTGATGGGACAAGCACAGGCGGTTCAGGATGGCCAGCTGTGCTGAAGCGGTGACACGGTGTGCTCCCTCTCCCAGGTCACAGATTCCTTTCACAAACCATATCCACAGCTGGGGATAGCCACGATAAGGGCACTGGGTTTCTCCAGTAAACAACAGGGGAATCTCTACATCCCTAGGAATTTAGGATGAGATGAGCAAGCAGCTTATTCTCATGCTGGGCAGAAGCAGACTCATGAATAGCCATTGCATGACCATTTCTTTCTCTTTTTGTTAACGGCTAACAGCTTAAAATAAACAGTACAGTTAGCAGAAAATGGGTTCCTGCCCCAAAGAGTTTATTTTGTGCACCAGGAAGCGGGCCCTTGCCATTTCAGCAG